TTTTAATATAACTTGCCTTAAATCAAACAAAAATTTATAAGAAATTTTTATTTGATTTTAAATTTTTGATTTCAAAATGTGCTTGTATATTTTATAAATAAGCCGTATATTTTTTATGCAAATTTTAAGCAATATTTTTGGATGAAAATTGACTTACTCTCTCTTATCCCCGAGATACCCCCCTCTCCTCCTACTATCTCTCTCTCCCCCTATCCCCCCATCCGTTTTTCTTCAACTTCAACCTTTTTCAAAGATATTTTTAAAGAATAAATTAATTTTAGACAATTTTAAACTTTTAATTTAATTATGTCAAGTAACTTCTCAATAGAAACAATTTTATTAGCCGAGCAGAATGAACGATTCGAAAAAAGTAAAAACAGACTTTTAATTATTTATTTAAGTATAAATTAATTAAATTTATACTTAATAAATTTAATTAAGGCCGAGACTGGACCTCCTCACGGACGAGAGAGCGAGAGAGCTGGATTATTTTCTAGACAATTTAGATTCGTGCCTTATTTATATCAAGTCGGGCCATAAAAGTCTTTTTCGGGCCAAATATCTTAGGCCCGACTAGTTCTTTCGGTCAGAGTCGGTCCATTTTGGCAATCTTAATTTCAATGTATTCTGATATAATTTAAAAGAGTTTTGCTATTCTAAATAAAAAATTTATTTAAAAAATTCTTTATAGGTGAAGAATTTAATCCACTCGAAGCAGAAAACTCTTCCTCTACTTTATCTGAGACAAGTTCTGCTTCGTGTAAAATGCGAAGATTTCGAACAGCTTTTGATACTTTTCAATTGGTAAAGGGGCTTATAGTCCTTCTGACTAATAAAATTTTTTTCCAGAAAAGTTTAGAATCTCGTTTTAAACAAAGCCGCTATTTAAATATTGGTGAACGTATAAAATTGGCAGATTCGTTAAAATTAACTGAAACACAAGTATAAATTAAATAAAATATTTATTTAAAAATTATTTTTTAAAGATAAAAATTTGGTTTCAAAACAGACGAACAAAATGGTTGGTAAAAATTACAGTAGAACCACCTCACTATAAGATAAACCCCGGTGGTGAAAAATCGTATCTCATAAGGAGTATCTTACATAGAGTGTATCGTTTAGACAACCCTCCTCGATCTAGTGGCCTACCATATTTTAGAAAATGTATCTTAAATAGAGGTGGATCTACTAACGGGTGTATTTTATAATGAGGTCCTTCGACTGTTTTCGTTTAGACAACCATCCCCAATCCAGTGGCTTACCATATTTTAGTCTTTAGAAAATGTATCCTAAATAGAGGTGGGTCTACTAACGGGTGTATTTTATAAGGAGGTCCTTCGACTGTTTTTATATTTTAAGATTAAATTGGCTTTGTTTAAAGAATTTTTTTCAATTTAAGGAAGAAAGAAAATTTTATCACAAATCAAGAAAAAGTATCTTCCCCGCCAAATATCCTGTCGGATGTGAAAGAAATAAATAAAAACACTCAAGATAAGAGTAAAGAGGAGATAAAAGAAACTTCATCTTCATTCCCTTCTTTTTCTTCTTCATCCTCATTCCCTTCCTTTTCATTGTCATCGTCTTCTTATTCTTCAAATGCAAATGATTCTGTGAATATTTTTTCTCAAAATTTTGAGGAAAGGATAAACGAAAACAATAAAAATAATGTTTTGGCAAACATTTCAGGTAATTAGAAATTTTTTAAAAATTTCATACCTTAAATGCTCAAATATTTTCTCTCACTCAAATGATTACCCTCTAATAATTGTAATTTTTCACTGATAGATTGAAGCAATTTGGAAGAAAATCCAGGGTAATTAGTAGATGGATCTTCCCCAGGGTTTCCCAGGTAATTACCCTGAATTTCCACAGGGTTTTTAATTTAGCTTTTTTTAACTTAATTACATCCTTTTAATGAAACTTTAATTGAATTATTCGAGAAGATACGCTATCTAAATTTTGAATTACCGAGTATTCTAGACTGCTAACCTCGATAAAGTCAATTTTTTGTTAAAAAACACCCTTATTTTAAAAGAAAAATTTTCAAAATTTAAAATTTTAGACACCCAAATTAATTTAACAACAAACAATATCCATCAACAACAACCAATACTCAATTTATTACTCAATTTATTATCAACTAATCACCACTCTTTTAACCATTCTTTAACATTAAATCCCTTAATTCAACTCTTAATTTCCTCAAAAGAGGTGGATACAAACAATGCTTTAATTAATTTATTGGAAAGAATGGGGGAAGAAAAAGATAAAAAAGATGACATTTTGTCCCAAATAATATTTTAAAATTTAAAAAAAAAATGTGAAAATGAAAAAAAGCATGCATAAATTGATATTTCCATTATATATCCTTCAATAAATTGCATGTACAAAATTTTGAACGAAGTTTTATACAACATTTTAATCTGCCCATACAATCATTATCTCTGTTTTGATTTTAAAATTAAAAAAAAAATTTTTTTGAAGTACTGTAAATAATTTTAATTACCCTGGGTAATCACTGGAGAGGGTAATAATAGAGGTAGGGTAATTATTTGAGGGAGGGCAATTGATAGAATATATACGGTATTTATTAACTACCGTATCTTCTCGATAAAGCCCCATTCCCCATGATGAGCTGAAACAATATTCCCCTCTCCCAAGTGCTCTAATGCACGTACAAATTTCAAAATCTCGAATAATACTCCTTCCACGGATAGTGTTGAAATATTAAATCCCCCGGGGGAATTATCGAGAAATAAATTGATTTAAATCTATAACATACGTTAATTTGCTGAAACACTCATTAAGGCCAGGAACATTATCAGGCCACAGAAGAAATTCATCATACTCTGACAAGTGTCGTTTTGCACGAATTAATTTAGAAAATGGTCCTTTAAATTTTGTTAAATTTTATTTAATTTATTTTTTAACTTTTTTCCTAAAGTAGCTTCTCTGGAATGTTTAAATTATTTCAAAAATAATATGTAAAATAGAGATATGTATTCCTGCTGGTCCCGTGTCATTTCTTTTAAAAAAATTCTAGCTTTAAAGGATAAATAGTTTGCTTGGATTTTAAGAGCATCCGATTTTACCCAAAAAATCCAATCAAATTTCCAGGTTAAAATGTTCTATTTTACCTTGTTTTGGACCTTATTTTTACTCTGTTTGGTAACCGAGAGGAGGAGGAGTGTCTGAATAATACCCTCTATTTAAGGATAGCTTTATTGTATAGGATATAATCTTGCATTCCCCTGGAAGCTCTTTAATTTAAATAAAACTCCTTAATTTTAATAAAAAAATAATTAACTAACCATACTCGATTTTTGCAATATTTTTGTTAATTAAAATAATAAATATTAAAATTAAATTAATTTTGAGTAAGACAGGAAATTTCATTAAGGAAATGATAAAAATTATTTTAAAATTAAATAATATTTATTCCACAAACATTATTTTATATGAAACATGTGTGAGTTATTTTTTGGTTAAATAAAACAACTCAACAAACAAATTATAAACATAAAATAAACATTTTCCTCCTTAATTTTCTTTTAGTTATTTTATGTTTAAATGATATCATTTTAGTTGTTTAAATATTTGATAAAAAATTTTTTTGATTTTTTCCAACATAATTTTTGCTAAAGGAAGTAGAGTAGGTCGAGGTTTTTTGAAAAAACCGAGGCTGGAAAAGCCGAGGTCGGGAACGAGGTTCCGAGAGCCGAGGTCAGTAAAATCGAGGTCGATGTTTGAAAATGGGCGAGGACCTTGGCCTCGACCTCGACCTACTCTAAAAGGAAGTAAATTTTGTAAAAATAATACGTGGAAAATTAAAAAAAATTTCCTCCACATACATATGATGATTTCTAAAAATTTATTTTATTATTCTGTTTTTCGTATTTTGTTTGTTTTAGTCAAAGTTTCCTGTATTAGTAAGTTATGGACACCCGTGACACGTTGATATTTACCACAATAATTCCGAAAAATTCTGAGACATACTTCCGGGATTAATATTTCTTTTAATTTCATGTTGTCACTAAAAAAAATTTTTTTTTGGAATAATAAAAAATTTAAAATATTTTTATTAAATATTTTAAAAATTAAAAAATTCTTTCAATCGTTTATATTTTATAATTTATTTTAATTTTTTAATTCACATCTTTTTGATTTTTAACAACTTTTAAAAGTACAAAATTGTTTTTAAATTGTTCACATATTTTTAAAATTCGAGCCAATTTTAATGCGCAATTTTTTTTCTCTTTTAGATCAAATCCATTTAAATGTTAAATTCTGGTTTGTGTAGGCGAAGTGTTTTTACTTTCCATGTTCTACATAAATGACTTTTTAAAGTAAAGTTTTTTTTTCTTGTTTTTTTTTGAAAAACGTGACTGAAAAAATCAAAAGTATATACTGTAGTATAATAATATATGTATCTAATGAGTAGGGTGGGCCTCCGTCCCAGTCCTCGAAAGTCAAGGAATTGAGACATTTTTTAAAAAATTTCCCGTCCCCCTCCCCGTAGCTCTGCCTTCCCGAAAAACTTTCCCCGTAGCCCCCCCCCCCCCTACTCCCCCGTCGGGAACCAACCCTACCCGCTCTGTTAGAAAGATCTATTTAATTCGATCGAATAAAGATTCCGCTCCAGACAGGCAGAACAAATCCTTGTTTAGGAATAGGGGGTCTAGTGTCTAACTAGAGATCGGATTATGACGGGATCTCTAACAAAATCGTTATCGAGATAGAAATTTTTCGACTTATCTCTACACTCCCATTTCGGCCTCTATTCTTAAGCCCCCTCTTAAGTATCATTCTTAAATGCTATTCAGCTTGGCTTTCTTTCTTGCAATAATCTCACATTATTAGTGATAAACGACAAGACAAAGAAGCGCATAAATTAGATCGGCCCGGTTCGAGGATTCGAAATTCCGACTAAATTTTAGAAGAAAAGGTACAAATTTAATTATACAACCCTAATCAAGTATTTTAGTTAAATTAATAAAATATCAAATTAAAAATGCGTCGTCGTCTTTTCTTTAAAGACAAAGTTAAACAACGATTATTTCGTTCAGTTTCGTGTTCTAGCATTTTTGATTCGCTTAGACGGTTTAGCGGGAAAGTTGTAATTATTACTGGTTTGTTTCCCCAATTATTTCAAATAATTATTTAAAAGGTTCGAGTTCTGGCATTGGCCAATCAGCAGCATTATCCTTTGCTGAAGAGGGAGCATCTGTTGTGATTCATGGACAAAACAAGGAAAGATTGGATGTAAAATAAATTCACATAAAATTTAATTATAAGAGAATAGAGACGGCGTTTTCAGACGGACATTTACGTACACCCACTGATTATGTGGCATAAATTAAGAGATTAATAAAAGATGCCATAAGGATATTATTTATTATTAGAATGTGGCATTAGAATGGGATCGTGGAATTCCCCTCCGGAATCCTTAGTTTTAAGAAAAAAAGGATTATCAAGATTTAAGGGATTACTCCCATTTGTTTCCGTCCCGTTTAGCCTTTTGATGAATCACGTTACAGGACAAGAATTTGCGATTTATTTCTTTATCAGAATTGTAAACTCCATTTTGCATTAGGCTGTGTCCGCAATTACCCACACGAAAATATTTAGAGAGACCAAATAAGTGTGGAAAGAGCTCTAATTAAGAGAAAATATTTTTTTCATTTTGTGGATGATTACCAACAAACTAAAATTTATAAAAAAAAAATATAAAATAAATTTAAAGAAAACAGAGAAATTATTGTTGGCTGAAGGAATACCTCCTCAAAAAATGCTTAAAATTCTTGGTTCATTAGAAGATTCAAAGACAGCAGAAAGAATTGTTAAGGAAACAATAAATAAATTTGGAAGGATTGATATATTAGTTTATTTTACTTAAATTTTAATCTAAAATTTCTTTACTAAGATAAACAATGCAGGTGTGCTTGCTAAACCTAATATTAACAATCCTGAGGCTATCGAGAATCTTGATTTTATTTATCAAATTAATTTGAGAAGGTAAATAAATAAGCTTATTTCTTTCGGAAAAATATGTATATTTTTCCGTAGGATTTTTTCGAATCATCCGCTCTATTTGAGCCCATATCTAAAGGATGCCCACAAAAGGGTGACCATCTAAAAAAACACCTACTCCCTAATATAGCCCATATGTATTATAAGCCCACTCAAAATAGCAAGAGAAAAATAGACGCCCGGGGCTTTAATTTGCGTATTTATGGTATCTGAATACTATATATTCAGGTCTTACTAAAAAATGCATCCAAGATACGCCTCAATTTAAGATAATTTTTAAAATTATTTTGGCCACTGGGGGAAGCTGCCTTGGGATTAAAAAATTATTTTGAAATTTTTTAATCCCAAAGATATATCTTATAGCGGGAATCGGACTATATATTTAAGATTATTTTTCAAGTGTTATTCTCGTTACACAACTGGCATTGCCTTACATTGAAAAAGTTAAAGGAAATGTGGTCAGTGTGAGTTCAACAATTTCAGTTCGTTACGCTTTGGCAACCTTTTATGCTCTTCTTAAAGCTGGGCTAGATCATTGGACTAGAGCAATGGCTCTACAATATGGGCCGAAGGGGGTTCGGTTCAACGCTATCAAGTATAAAATTGGTCTTAAAAAATTTTTGTAAAAATTTTCAGCCCTGGCTGTACAAAAACAGTAATTTTTGAGAAAAATGGATTTACTGGGGAACTCAAAAAATTGGTAAAAAAATAGCCGTGTTTAAAAAAATATTTTTTCCAATAAAAGCATGAACGTTGGGTAAAGAAGACAACTCCTTTAGGGCGTTTCGGAGAAGTCCACGAAATGTCGGCAGCACTAAAATTTTTGGCTAGTGAAGAAGCTTCTTATATAACAGGGGTTTGTCTAATGGTGGATGGTGGTTGGTCTATTGCTTCTTTAGGAATGGATCAAATATAAAATTAAAATAATAAAGACTTCATAGAAAATTTATTTAGTAAATTTAAATGATTTTATAAGAAAATGATTTTTTCTTTATGCATCAGACAAGTCATCTCAATCTAAAAAATATTACTATTATATTTTTTATAAAAGAAATTTTTTTAATATTTACCTACAAATCTAAAAAATAATTGTCCAAACCTTTTAGCCAAAAATTGAATAGCAAACTTCCTTGGGTTTTGTAAAGGCTAAATTCATGGCCTCGCCACACCCAATCTTAGCTGCTTGAATGTCTTCAGCTCTTATATTCACACAGATTTTTGAACCCAATTCTTGCACAGTCATTTCCAACTGTTCACAGGATGGAAAGAGGGTGCTGGCAGTTTTTCTAAGTTTATCGATGCAGTATTTTCGGTCAGGATCCGATAATCGACAGAGAAGCATCTCCCATGGCTCTGTAACCTTTTCACATGTAATTATTATAACATTTGTTTTATCACTCCATTTTAAGGCACAGTTTACAGTTCCAGCAAGAAGTCTTGCTGAATCAAAGCAAAGTTTTTGCAAATGGTCTTTAGCGAGCTCAATCTGTCTTTTCTAATCCACACTGAAAATAAAATATGTAAAATTTTATATTCTTTTTATAACCAATCTAAACTTTAATTTATTTTGTTTTTCGATATTTAATGAATATGTTCTTTCCAGACTATGTAATAGTGTGGAAGGAACGAAAAAATAGTAATAAACAAAAAAGAGGTATTTATTCAATAAAAAAAGAGTCCAACAAAATAAAAATATTTTATTTAAATCAATTTATTTTCCTTTAATAAAAATATATGAATCAATGAATGTGTGGAGAGCGGGATTATTTATAGTGGGAAAGGTCACAAAGAAAAAGGAAGATGTATCAATAAAAAAAAGAAGAGAAAAATGTAAAGGAAGGAACTTTGCGGAAAAACATTTGCACTTTGTGGGGGAGTTAATGCGAAAGTAAATCATGTTTGTTATTTGATAATTATACATACATTGATTTATTTATTCATCATAAACCCTCACTGGGATACAGTTAATTCTAACTTTTCGAAAGTTAACATTTTTGAAATTTTTAATATAAAAATATTTTAATTATTGTGGATTTACTTGTGCACGATTAAAAATAGCATTTCGATATGGGGTGTTTGTTAAAATACAAATAATTGGGTTAAATACGGGTGTTAAATGAAAAGAAATGTGAAATAATATTCGGATAATATTTGTTGTATTAATTGTTTTTGAATATACTATAACAAATAAAGTGCCAGCTTGGTTGAAAATTGGTAGAATTACCTAAAAATTAATACAATAATGTTTAAATTAAAAATCTGCATGGACAGGATACCGTACGGTATTTTGAGGGATCTGGTGGGTATTGGCTTAGTATGAAAGCCCTTCTATTATTCAGTCTTAGTCTCATTCCCGCAGTGTTATTCTGATCTCTCATTCTATTCTGTCTCCAAAATATTCGGCGTGTAGCCAATTCCTATTGTATATGTATAATTATTGTATACATTAGAGATCGAGATTTTTGCAAAGCCTGGGAGATTTTTGCAAGGCCGTAGTCCAGGAAAAACTCAGGCGCAGGAAAAACTCAGGAAGATCAAAAAATGCTTGGGCCTCGACTCTGGGTACAGGAAAAACCCTAGGCCGTGGTCCAGGCCCAGCTCGATCTCTAGTATACATATATTGTTATCGTAATAAAACACCGTTCTAGTTACTGTCTTATATCGTTATTCTTTGTACGTAAACATAGAAGTCTCGTACATAACAGGATCCTATCCCGAAATCCTTAGTTTTAATAGACGAAAGGGAACGGGAGTTGCGAGATTATTTCTTCGGGACCCCGTCCTGTTCGACTTTTGAAAAAATTTTGTTACGTGATCCTGGGACCGATCTCTAGTTAAAATAGAATTACCAAAATAATCAAAACTTTAGTCAAAAGTTTATTCAATCGTTTCAACTCTTGATCAAAATTAGCATTTAAATTGACATATCTAACCATTTTGAATCCACAGAAAAATACTATTAAAGTTGCGAATATTTCCATTAAAACTATCAGTGAAATTTTCAAAAATGTTATCTATATTTTTTAAGTAACTTTAAAAATTTTTAAAATTTAAAAATTACATTTTCCACTCTACCAAATTGTACATATGGCAATGTCTTGTTAAAATTATCAAAATATTTTATACCCCCAGAAGAGTATGGAATAAAAAAGAAAAATATATCCAATATATAAAATACAGTCACAAATAAAACAATTGACAGCATAAATAAATAACGACGAAAATTAATTTTCATATTCCTTAAAATATTTATTTAAGGAGAGATTTTTAATATTATTTTTATTGGTATTATCCGAGTATCTCCTCCATTTTTCTTTTCTACTCTTCCTTCATTTTACTTCTTAAAAGAATTGAAGGAAGGCAAATAATGGCCAAGGAAGTCTAGGCTCTAAAAAGCAGAGACTATTTTGTTTAAAGGAGAAAATAAAGGCATCCGGCTCTGCTTTTTAGAACTTATGGTACGGTAGTGTGCATATACCTCTATAAAATTAATTTTTACTATATTCCTGAACATAGTACTTTTCCTTTCCCAACCATACCTTTATTCTCAATAGGTTCACCGTATGTCCATAAAATCTTTAGTGAGATAGATACCTCTATTACTGTACCATAGGTTCTAAAAAGCAGAGCCGAGTGCCATAGTTTCCCAACCATACCTTTATTTTTTTTGTGTTCAATTTTTTTTATCTATAAATAAATTGAACACAAAATCCATGCCCATTCATTATAGCAACATATTGCCACAATGTTCCAACAATATTACACATGATTGGATTAAAATTTTCTTTCATATAAATAAGCAAAATTCCATTAGGAATAATCAAACAAATAATCAAACAAATAATCAAACAATTAAAAAAAATTTTTTTCAAAAATTAATATCTGCAAATGTCGTGTCTGCAAAAGTCTGATCTGCAAAAATCTGATCTGCAACTGTCGGTATCTGCAAATGTCGATCTGCAAAAGTCGTCTGCAAATGTCGGGCCTGCAAATGTCATATCTGCAGGTGTCGTATGACCCGAAAATTTTGCTCCAATAATTACCCTAATGATTATTCAAGAAAGTATGGTGTTTATTAGGGCTGGGCGAAATCTAAAAATAAAAAACGAAATGTGAAAGTTTTCGCGCTGAAAAATGTGTAAAAAGCGAAAATGCGAAATTAGCTGGGAATCATCAAAATGCGAATTTATGGGAAATCATCAAGTTTTAAGCTGAACCATCAAAAAAAATTTTAACTGACAACATTATTTTAAAAGGAAAAATTTTTTAAAATTTAAATTTTAGATCCCCAAATTAATTTACCAACAAATAATATCCAACAACAACCAATACTCAATTTATTACTCAATTTATTATCAACTAGTCAACACTCTTTTAATCATTCTTTAACATTAAATCCATTAATCCAACTTTTAATTTCCTTAAAAGACATGGATACAAACAATGCTTTAATTAATTTATTGGAAAGAATTGGGGAAGAAAAAGATAAAAAAGATGACATTTTGTCCCAAATAATATTTTAAAATGATTAAAAATATTTTTTAAATAAATTTGAGAATGAGAAAGGCATGGAAAAATTGATATTTCTTTTATAAATCCTTCAATAAATTGCATGTACAAAATTTTGAACGTAGTTTTATACAACATTTTAATCTGCCCATACAATCAGAATCTCTGTTTTTGATTTTAAAAATTAAAAAATTTTTTAGGTACCGTATATACTCTATTAATTACCCTGGGTTGTTTCGACGCCTCTTTGGAGAGAGTAATTGATAGAGGCGGGGTATGGTTGTTCAATTTTCAGGGGGTCTGTATTTTGGTCAAATCAAGTCGGATTTTGTTGATTTTGGTGTCATTCGACACAGCTCGATGTGTACTACAATTGTTGTTCAGACTGACCATTTTTACATATTTTTCGAAAAAATGGGGGAGGGGGGGGGGAAGTAAATAAGTACCAATTATTTGAGGGAGGGTAATTGATAGAGTATATACGGTATTTATTAATTACCCTATTTTTTCGATTTAATTCCCCGTGTCCGGGATAGTTAAAACATTAATATTCCCCTCTCCAAAGTGCTCTACTGCACATTGAAATCTCAAAACTCAAATAATTCCCAATCCTTCGGATAGTGTTGAAATATTAATCCCCCAGAGTAATTATCGAGAAATAAATTGATTTAAATCTAAAACTTACGATAATTTGCTGAAACATTTAATAAGACCAGGAACATTATCAGGCCACTGAAGAAATTCATCATACTCTGACGAGTGTCGTTTTGCACGAATTAATTTAGAAAATGGTCCTTTAAGTTTATAAAATTAATTTTAAATTTATTTTTTTTTTTTTTTAATTTTTTTCCTAAATTAGCTTCTCTGGAAGGTTAAAATAATTTCAAAAATAATATGTAAAATAGAGATATTCCTGCTGGTCCCGTGACATATTTTTAAAAAATCCTAGCCTCTAAAGGATAGTTTACATTAATATTTGATTTCAAGAGCATTCGATTTTACCCAAAAAATCCAATCAAATTTCGAAAATATTTGAATTTTACCTTGTTCTGGACAAATAATTTTTTTAATTCTACGCTCTAATTAATGTAGAAGGTCTTCCAGACCCCGAAGTATTTCTAGGATTGTTCCGATCACATCCTCTCCCCTTGTATCCTATGTATAATATCTGGAAAGGGCCCACCGCTTCGGCGCATAGTTAAATGGGAGAAGTGTTCTATTTTACTTTAAAACTCCTTAATTTTAATAAAAAATAATTAAATAACCATTTTCGATGTTTGCCATATTTTTATTAATTAAAACAATAAATATTAACATTAAAAAATTAATTTTGAGTAAGACAGGAAATTTCATTAAGGAAATGATAAAAATTTTATTTTTTAAATTAAATAATATTTATTCCACAAACATTGTTTTATATGTATGTATCATTTCTGAATTATTTTTTGGTTAAATAAAATTTGAAAGACAACGCGGCAAACAAATTATCAAATAAAAAAAAAACATTTTCCCTCCTCATTTTCTGTTATTTTATGTTTGAATGATATCATCTGATTAAATATTTAATAAAAATATTTAGATTCCTCTCATCAGAATTTTTTGCTAAAGGAAGTAAATTTTGTAAAAATAAGACGTGGAAATATTAAAAAAAAAATAATTTTCCCTTACGTATGATGATTTCTAAAATTTTATTTTTATTATTTTGTTTTTCGTATTTTCTACCCTTTGTTTTGCGTTGATATTTGGGTTGTGGAAGAGGTTATGTTAGAACTTAGTTTCTTTTGTATTTTTAATTGACATAACTAGATATGCTTACCTGAATTTTTGTAGATTTTTCGAACGACCCCTAATGCCGAAACTTAGGGGGTCTTTTAAAAAATACCAGTCATATCTCTTACTATCCACGAATAATTTATATCTAATTGTTTTTTTTCTCTCGAATATAAATTATAAATTCATAAAAAATTTTAAAATTATTTTACTTTAAAGTTAAATATGTTTTTTACGTAAAACTAAAAGGTGCTTATCATTTTCTGACAGAGTGTAGGTTTCTTGTATTAGTAAGTTATGTGACACGTTGATATTTACCACAATAATTCCGAAAAATTCTGACATACTTCCGGGATTAGTAATTTTTTAATTTCAAGTTGTCGCTAAATAAAAAAATTTTTTTTGGAATAATAAAAAATTTAAAATATTTTTATTAAATATTTTAAAAATTAAAAAAATTCATTTTAATTTTTTAGTTCACATTTTTCTTTTAATTTAACAACCTTTAAAAGTACACAATTGTTTTAAAATTGTTCACATATTTTTCAAGTTGGAGCCAATTTTAATGCGCAATTTTTTTCTCTTTAGATCAAATCCATTTAAATGTTAAAATCTGGTTTGTGAAGGCGAAAAGTTTTTACTTTTTATGTTCTACACAAATGACTTTTAAAGTTAAGTTTTTTTGAAAGTAAAGTTTTTTTCTTTTTTTTTGAAAAACGTGACTGATAAAATATAAAAAATATCAAAAATACACTGTAATATCTTTAATGAAACGTGCGCCTATTTTTAAAATACACACTGAGAGCTTTGTTATAGAGTGCCGTTTAATTCGATAGTGCCACTATATTAGAGAGGGACACGAAACCAGTCCGAAGTTAACTGTGATTTAACTTAACTTAATTGGGACTCAGGTTCGATACATGAAGCTAAGCTAAAGTCTGCTTTAGTGTTGTCTTTGTATAGCACTTAAATAGGCTGCACGTCTCGAATGGGAAGGCCTCTAGTTTGCTTTTAAATCCTGAGGAAGCGAGGTATTGACTTACCTACTACTACTATAATAAGTACCGTAAATGGTTTAATTAAAGCCTGGCTCTATTAGAAGCCCATTTCTACTACAAGCCCACTTAAGGAGGCCCATTGAAAAATAAACGCCCCCTCCCAAATAGCCTTTGTGGTACACCAAAAATATAAATCCTAATTCAATATTTTTAGTTAAATTAATAATAATAATAAATTAAAAATGCGTCGTCGTCTTTTCTTTAAAGATAAAGTAAAACAACGATTATTTCGCTCAGTTTCGTGTTCAAGCATTTTTGATTCGCTTAGACGGTTTAGTGGGAAAGTTGTAATTATTACTGGTTTGTGTTTCCCTCGATTATTTCAAATAATTATTTAAAAGGTTCGAGTTCTGGTATTGGACAATCAGCAGCATTATCTTTTGCTGAAGAGGGAGCGTCCGTTGTAATCCATGGGCAAAGCAAGGAAAGATTGGATGTAAAATAAATATTTAAAAATTTAATTGTAAGGCTAATTATAACATCATTTTAGAGTCCATAAGATATGGCACCTGGATTATATTCATTATTAGATTGTGGCACGGGATGTGATCCATTACAGAATTCACCTGGTACTTCCATTTTACCTACAAGCGGGATTTACAAGATTACATGTATGGTTGTCGGTTCTTGGAAAATCTTCGGATATCCAGAACCGAACCGATATCCAAACCGAAAAATCATCGGTTCTTCGGTTCGATTCTGTCCAGAACCGACAACCCTCCAAAGCTCCCATCCCGCTTAGCCTTTGAAAAAATCCCGTCTAGGAACCCCGGATGTGCGATTTTCACTACTTTTTCATTAGGCATCGGTTGTGAGCGGAAATATTTTGGGAGACCGAAAAATAATGGTAAGAGCTCTGAGTAATTATGGAAAGAATTACTAAGCTCCGATTTTATTAAAAGAAAATATTTCTTTATTTTATGATGATTGCTAACATTTAAATTTGATTAAAAAAATATTAAAATAAACTTAAAGAAAACAGAAAAATTATTGCTGGCCGAAGGAATACCTCCTCAAAAAATGCTTAAAATTCTTGGTTCATTAGAAGATTCAAAGACAGCAGAAAGAATTGTTAAAGAAACAATAAATAAATTTGGAAGGATTGATATATTAGTTAATATTCTCAAAAGAATAAAATTAACAATAAAAATTTTGTTAGATAAACAATGCAGGGGTGCTTGCTAAACCTAATATTAACAATCCTGAAGCTATCGAGAATCTTGATTTTATTTATCAAATTAATTTGAGAAGGTGAGTAAATAAGTTAAAGCTTGACTCTATTTGAGGCCCATATCTAAAAGATGCCCACCCAGGATGGCCATCGAAAAACACCTACTCCCTAATATAGCCCATATCCATTATAAACCCACTCAAGGTACCAACAGAAAAATAGAAGCACGGGGCTCTAATTAGAGTATTTTAGGTATTCGATCACTATATTCAGGCCTTACTAAAAGATACCTCCAAGATACACCTCAATTTAAGATAATTTTTAAAATTATTTTGGCGACTTGGGGAAGCTGCCTAAGCGATTACCCTCATTATAAAGATATTTTTAAATCCCAAAGGTGTATCTTATAGTGGGATCAAACTATCTCTTTAAAATCATTTTTTAGTGTTATTCTCATTACACAACTGGCATTGCCTTACATTGAAAAAGTTAAGGGAAATGTGGTCAGTGTTAGTTCAACAATTTCAGTTCGATATGCTTTGGCAACGTTCTATGCTCTTCTTAAAGCTGGGTTAGATCATTGGACTAGAGCTATGGCTCTACAATATGGGCCAAAGGGGGTTCGGTTCAACGCTATCAAGTAGAAAATTAATTTTTTAAAAATTTTTTTGTAAAAATTTTCAGCCCTGGCTGTACAAAAACAGTAATATTTGAGAAAAATGGATTTACTGGGGAACTGAAAAAATTAGTAAAACTAAGGGATTTGATTTTAAAAAATTTTTTTTAAATAAAAGCATGAACGATGGGTAAAGAAAACAACTCCTTTAGGGCGTTTCGGAGAAGTCCACGAAATGTCAGCAGCACTAAAATTTTTGGCTAGCGAAGAAGCTTCTTATATAACAGGGGTTTGTCTAATGGTGGATGGTGGTTGGTCTATTGCTTCTTTAGGAATGGATCAAATATAAAATCAAAATAATAAAGATTTCATAAAAAATTTATTTAGTAAATTTAAATGATTTTATAAGAAAATGATTTTTTTCATCTTTATGTGTCAGACAAGTCATCTCAATCTAAAAAATATTACTATTATATTTTCATAAAATTAATTTTTTAAATATTTGCCTATAAATTAATTTAAAAAATAATTGTTCAAACTTTGTCCCAAAGATTGAATCGCAAACTTCCTTGGACTTTGCAAAGGCTAAATCCATGGCTTCGTCGCACCCTATCTTGGCTGCTTGAACGCTTAAGCTCTTAAATTTACACAGATTTTTGAACCCAATTCTTGCACAGCTATTTCCAACTGTTCACAGGATGGGAAGAGGGTGCTGGCAGTTTTTCTAAGTTTATCGATACAACACTTTCGGTCAGGATCCGATACTGGGCAGAGAAGCAGCTCCCATTGCTCTGTCATAAGTAACTCTTATAACATTTGTTTTGTCACTCCATTTTAAGGCACAGTTAACATTTCCAGCAAGTCTTGCTGAATTAAAACAATGTTTTTGCAACGCTCCAACGCGATGTCGCAAAGATTGAATCTATCTGTCTTTTCCCACCCACACTGAAAATACATTAAGTAAAATTGTATATTCTTTTTATAACAAATCTAGACTTGAATTTACATTGTTTTTCAATATTTAATGGTTATGTTCCTTCCAAGTGTGGAATATAGAAATAAACAGAAAAGGGGTATTTATTCAATAAAGAAAGAGTCCAACAAAATAAAAATATTTTATTTGAATAAATCAATTTATTTTCCTTTAATAAAAATATATGAATCAATGAATTTGTAGAGAGCGGGATTATTTATAGTGGGAAAGGTCACAAAGAAAAAGAGGGATGTATCAATAAAACAAAACGCCAAACAAATAAACAATAAAAAAATTTAAATTAATTTAATTAATCGAATCAGTGATGAGCGAAAGACAATCTCATAAAACGCAACGCAAGGCCAAAATTTAACGCAAATAACGCAATGCACTCACCCTGATTCAAATAATGGATAAACTTCACTGAGATACAGTTAATTCTAACTTTTCGAAAGTTAATATTTTTGAGATTTTTAATACAAAAAATAAGAAAAAAATATTTTAATTATTGTGGATTTACTTGTGCACGATTAAAAATAGCATTTCGATATGGGGTGTTTGTTAAAATACAAATAATTGGGTTAAATACAGGTGTTAAATGAAAAGAAATGTGAAATAATATTCGAATGATGTTTGTTGTATTAATTGTTTTTGAATATACTATAACAAATAAAGTGCCAGCTTGGTTAATAATTGGCAGAATTACCTAAAAATTAATATAATAATATTTAAATTAGAAATCGGCATGAACAGGCCATATACTAAGCCAATACCTGATGGGTATTGGCTTAGTATGAAAGCCCTTCTATTATTCAATCTTAGTCTAATCTCTCATTCTATTCTGTCTCCAAGAAATTCGGCGTGTAGCCAATTCCTATTGTATATAACTATTGTATACATTAGAGATCGAGATTTTTGAAAAGCCTGGGCCTGTCTGGGTTCTGTTTGATTTATTGACCTGGGCCGGATCCTGAGCCTGTAATCCAGGAAAAACGCAGGCGCAAAAAAAACCCAGGAAGGTCAAAAAATGCCTGGGCCTTGACTCTGGGTACAGGAAAAACCCAGGCCTTGGTCCAGACCCAGTTCGATCTCTAGTATACATTTATTGTTATTGTAATAATTCGTTTGTTAGTTACTGTCTTATTTCGTTATTCTTTGTCCGTAGACATAGAAGTCTCGTATATAACAGGATCCTATCCCGAAATCCTTTGTTTTAATAGACGAAAGGGAGTGGGAGTTGCGGGATTATTCCCTCGGGACCCTGTCCTGTTCGACTTTTGAAAAAATTCAGTTACGGGATCCCGGGACCGATCTCTAGTTAAAATATAATTACCAAAATAATCAAAACTTTTGTCAAAAGTTTATTCAATCGTTTCAACTCTTGATCAAAATTAGCATTTAAATCGACATATCTAACCATTCTGAATCCACAGAAGAATACTATTAAAGTTGCAAATATTTCCATTAAAACGATTAGTGAAATTTTCAAAAATGTTATCTGTATTTTTAAGTAACTTTAAAAATTCTTAAAATTTAAAAATTACATTTTCCACTCTACCAAATTGTACAAACGGCAATGTTTTGTTAAAATTATCAAAATATTTTATACCCCCAGAAGAGTATGGAATAAAGAAGAAAAATATATCCAATATATAAAATACTGTCACAAATAAAACAATTGAGAGCATTAATAAATAACGACGAAAATTAATTTTCATATTCCTTAAAATGTCCGGTAAAATTTTGGTAAAATTGAAATCTGTTCCCATTATTGTTCCAACCCCCCCCCCCCACTCCCTCTTTTTTACTTTCCTCAAAGTATTAAAAATGCTCCAACTTAAAATGTGCTACAAACAGTGTTCATAAGCTCATACCAAAATTCGTACTCGTACTTAGGTACGAAATACTATTACGAGCAAAAAAATAGTCTCATACGAGTACGAGGCCAAAAATAAGCAAGTACGTAGTATGAGTAAAAGCTATTTAGAACCAATGACCCGGTAATGTGCGTGTGTACTATAATTCCGGGTGAGTAGGGCTTTCTATCACAATAATATTCATTGGAATAAAAATCTCGGCAAAATTGAACAAAAATTGAACACAACTCAAAATTGGCATTGACACAACACAAAATTGGAAGGAAAAAGGAGGGGGAAAAGGGGGGAAGTTCAATTTTGCTGAGATTTTTAATTTTATCTTTATTTTTATTCGATACCTATTCAAAACTAAATATCTATAAATAAATTGAACACACAATCCATGCCCATTCATTATAGCAACATATTGCCATGCTGTTCCAACAATATTACACATTACTGGATTAAAATTTTCTTTCATATAAATAAGCAAAATTCCATTAGGAATAATTAAAATTGAATTCCCTTCAGTATCAAGTAAATAAAACTAAAATTAAAATAGTTACTAAATTTTCCAGAATTACGTAAAATTTAACCAGAGTGACAAAAAAATTTTTTATTATTCTGGTTTTTTTGATACAGTCGTGGAAAAAAGTATGGAAGCGCTAGAAAATTTTTTCTCAATTCTTAATTTTCATTCAAAAATACGTTCTATATACCAATCGAAAGCTCTATTCGTATCTCAGTTGACATGTTTCTGCATTTTTCATGAAAATGAAAATTGGCCGAGATAATCCGGATCTACCGGATATACCAAATCCCACTTTTTCGGAAAAATTTTTCGGAACAAATTTAACAAACCCATTTGATAAAGCATATTTTTCTGAGTATTTTCCACAAAACCGCTTAGAAATATCTTTTTCCGGACCAGAGATATGATTTTTTGAAAATCGCATTTTTCCCTTAAAAATTGAATTTTTTGCAAAAATTGACGAAAAATGCGATTTTCAAAAAATCATATCTCTGGACCGGAAAAAGATATTTCTAAGCGGTTTTGTGGAAAATACTCACAAAAATATGCTTTATCAAATGGGTTTGTCAAATTTTTTCAGAAAAATTTTTCCGAAAAAGTGGGATTTGGTATATCCGGTAGATCCGGATTATCTCGGCCAATTTTCATTTTCATGAAAAATGCAGAAACATGTCAACTGAGATACGAATAGAGCTTTCGATTGGTATATAGAACGTATTTTTGAATGAAAATTAAGAATTGAGAAAAAATTTTCTAGCGCTTCCATACTTTTTTCCACGACTGTATATGGTATTTATGTTGTTTCCCTCCCTTATTTTACAAATTGGTCAGTCATTTAATTTCCTTGTGGCATTTAGAGTACCTTGCAATAGTGATGGTCGAGACTCTCGGTCTCTCGATTTGCGAGTCGGAGATTTCCCTGGTTTTTTGAGCTCTCGACTCTCGGTCTCGACTCTCGGCTTTTTTAACTCCCGACCATCACTACCTTGCAAAAGTGAAATTATGGAAGGAAGAAATGACTGACCATTTTGTACATCAAAGAGAAATTTGGTAGGGAGGGAAACAACATAAGTACCTCTATATATATTGTTTTAATTACCGGTTGTAAAAACATTTGAATAGTCAACAATAAAATATCCAAAACACAATTTTGTATCAGAATTCGACTGTGTGTTTTCATTTCTTTTGGTGTTTTAAAAATAATTAAAATAATCAGAATAAAATTTAAAGGAAACCCGATTAATAAATAAACAAAATAATCAAATTTAAATAAAATATCAAGCAAATCTGAGGACATTTTTTTATTTTTTAACAAATTAAATGGTAAAAAATTAATTTTAAATTAATTTTTTTTATTAAAGATTGAAAATATTCTCACGATAATTGCCGTTAAAAAAATATTTTTGAGAAAATTTTGTTTTTAATAAACATGTCGTGAGAAATAAATGTATCATTAGACCCTACTCAATTTATTATTGAAACTAAAAAAAATTTAGAAGAAAAAATGGGTACACCGCAAAATACCGCTCGTAGAGGTACATCGAACCGGGTACACCCCAACGTAACGCGAGGCCAACGTACCGCAGAGCTATAACTTCGTTCAGGTTTGTCGAATCCGGGACGCACTGATATGGTTCGATTCAGCTCGTCGAGATGCATCGAAACATACTAACGCGTTCCGGAGTCGACTATTTTTAACGAAGTTATAGCTCTGTGGTACGTGGGCTCGCGGAACGTTGGTCTGCTCCCATCGAACCATACCAGAGCGTTCCGGATTCGACAATTTTTATGAAATTATAGCTCTGCGGTACCTTGGCCTGTTTCTAAGAAAGAATTCTTTCTTACTTTATACGCCAAGGCGAAAATTTTAGGAATTTTAGAAAATTGAGAACCAAAATTCCTTTTTTTCACCGAAGAATATTTTTGAACTTTTTAAATTAAAAAACAACTTTTTAAATTTCTTTACTTTCAGTCAAATTTATACAAGACTTGTTTAATTCAAAAAATTTTTAATTCCAAAAAAATAATAATATTCCACTATATTCAGCACTGTCTAAAGGATCCTTTAAGCCCAGAAAATTGATCAAGTTGTCGAATTTCAGAAATACATTGGGAGCACTTTAAAAATATTTTCTTAAGGATAATCTATTTTTAATCACCTCCATTTTCCCTCCAATTACCGCTGATTGTGTCCCCCTTATTTCTGTTGGGGCGGAGGCTAGGGAGTGGATACGAGATTCAATCCCAGCAGCAACTGATTGTTTTAATTGTTGTTCATGTTGCTTTCTTTGTTGTGCTAACACATCGAAATATGTTATACAACTAGTTTAAAGTAAATTTGGAATTAAAATTGGGATTAGAGAAAGTATGATACCCCTTTAGAGGATATTCTGTCTCCCATAATCAATTTTATCTAGGGTTGTACCCCAAACGCTCAGAGGCGGGTATATCGGGTTTACGAGTTGTTTCGGAGCAGGGTTCGGGTCGGGGAGAATCGTGAAAAAATCGTTCGGGAACGGGATACGGAGTACGACACTAATTTCCTCACTTTTCCTAGGAACACTTATTATACTTTCATCCATCTTATTTCTGCAAGTAAAAAAGGTATCCCATTAAGTGAGTTTGACACATTGGGGTAGGTGGATCCGTATATTCGTTCCCATCAAATGAAATTTATAAATATTTAAGACTACCTAAAAAGAACAATTGATTGCCAAAAAAAGAATAAAGATAAAATTATACTAGATAAAATAGTTAAAGCACAATAAATAAAAGTTGTCATTGAAGAAGAATTTGAATTGTCAAAAAAGGGAATAAAAGAATCAGAAGCTTGTAAAGATGTTGAAAAATGTTTTAAGGAAGGCTGGGAAGCAATAGTTTCTGAAAAATTATAAAATTTTAAAATTCTAGCCATTGACCGATACACGTTCAAAGGCTTTTTGACAGAGAGGTCGGTCTGTGCAGAAATTTAAATGTAAAGCTTGTTCACCTAGCAATAGTTAAAATTAGGGTAGCACCCCGAGCCTTCGGGGGCGGGATCGTCGGGGATCGGGGTTTGCAGAGGTAGAGTCTTCGGGGTTCAGGTCGGGGTTTTTTCCAAAAAATTCGGAGGGGTCAGGGTTTCGGGGGATGGGTGCCCCTAGTTAAAATGCTAGACGAGGGTTAAACCTGACCTTTACTTTAAAAATAGCCCAAGAAAGATTTTAATAAAAAATTTTACCAAAATGATTTTTTAATTGTTCAAAACAAAGCAACGAAAAACACCCAACAATTAAAGCCATACAAAAAGTAACAATTGAATTAATAACAGAAATAACTAGGAACGGATATAGACATTTTGAAGAATGTCTGGATAAAGAATATGCTGCTAAGGGAACAACAACTAAAGGAACTAGAATCCAAACCTTTAAAAGGGGGGAGAAAATAAATTTTTTAATAATAATTTTTAAAATTAACCATAGTAGCTACGGATCCAAATATTACCCCACAAGCACTTAGTGCCACATAAAAAAATAAGAAAAGCCTGGCAGCTGTCTAAAATATAAATAAATTTCTATTAAAATTTAATTTTTAAAGAAAATTAGAATTGCAACATAACCTCATGGGTCGACAAGATATGTTTTTTAAAAGTTGTCTGGCTTCTGGATCAGGGGTGAGCGCATTGCGTTTTGCGTTTTGCGTTATTTGCGTTAAATTTTGGCCTTGCGTTGCGTTTTGCGTTTTTTTCGATAAAATTAACGCAAAAATACGCAAAAAATATACCCAATCTGAGGACAAAAATGGAAGAAATCTGGCTACTCGACTCTCCAAAATTCAAAAAATTTTCGCCTGCGGCGCAGAAAAAGAATGAATTTAGGCTGTTTAGCCTTCCAGAATTCTTAAAATTTTCGCCTGCGGCGCTAAAAATGATGAAGGGCCAGATGTGGTTAAGGTGGTCAGTTGACTTAAGATCAAGAGTGGTCATCTGGCATCCCTCCCTACCTCGTATATGCTCAAATCCCTGATACCCTTCTAATCTGAGGGCAAAAATTGAAAGAGATCTGTCTTCTGGCCTTATAAAATTCTCAAAATTTTCGCCTGCGGCGCTAAAAGTTGATTATTTAATTACCAAGTTTCCATTATGGAACGGCTCAGAAAAATAACGGTTCAGTATCTGGAGCTCAGATCTCCCATTATCCCTCCAAATCCCCTGATATTCCCGTATCAACCCATACTACTCTCCCTAATCCCCCGCTACTTCGTTAAACCCTCTTGATCCCTCTAAATCCTCTGATATCCTTCATAATCCCTTGGATCCAGGATAACTCTCCAAATCATTACCTATCCAACTTACATGTGTCACAAAATCGGATAGGACAGGCTGACTTAAAGTAATACTTCAATTTTTAGCTGAAAAATGACTAATACTTGGTTTAAAAAATTTTTCCCCTATTTTTGCGCTCTTGCGTTTTGCGTTTTGCGTTATTTGCGTTAAATTTTGGCCTTGCGTTGCGTTTTGCGTTTTTTGAGATTGTCTCTTGCGCTCATCCCTGTTCTGGATACAAGCCGTTCGAAAAACATTTTACGAACAATCGAAAAGAATCGAAAAGAACAACATAAAACCGAAATAAAAAACGAAACAGTTCAGCTCTTGATGGGAGCAGACCTGACCCTGGATACGGATAATATCCGGATATCCATGAATATATCCGGATACGGATAGCAAAATCCGTGTTCATGGCCAGGTCTTGATGGGAGTGTCTTTCCTTTCTTTTTTTCTCTTTCTCTTCTCCTTTATATAAGTGATACCTTCTATTTAATATACACTCAATATAAGAGATGAATTTTTCAGATTCAAGGATATAACTAAAATCGAGGTTCTATCATATTTTTAAATTAAATATTTTTTCTATTTATTCACCTCGATTCGTAAAATTCCAAAAAAACATAATTTAGAATTGTAACTATCAACACTCCCAATCATACTTTCTTTACTTTTTCGTCTCCTTTTAGTCTCTAAAATAATTTTTAAAAATTATTTTAAAAATATTTTGCCTATATTTATCAATCCATGCGGAGTAGAAGAAGATTTTGAATAATTATTTGATTGTTTCATAGCCATATAGGCAGAGGCTACATTTTTTGAATTATTTTCGGATCGAGAAGTGTTGTTATATTCGAAGGAAGACATTTTTTCTATAAAAAATTTTTTTCTTATTCAAAATAATTTTTATTTAAAGGGGGTTTTGTTAATAATCACGTGAATTTTGCTGTTTATTTTAGGGTAGCACCCCGTCCTCCGAAGAATTTTTAGGCAAAAACCCGGCCCAAACCCTGAAGGCTCTACCCCGGCAAATCCAGATCCCCGACGATTCCGCCCCCGAAGGCTCGGAGTGCTACCCTAGTTTATTTCATAAAATTCCAAAAATGTTGATCATTTTCGGATAACAAAGGACCTTGAAATGATGGCATAATGATTCTCATAACTTAAAGCCAATGGGTATATGTGGCCATAAATTTACTTGAGCTCTCTAATATACCTTATTTACTCAAATTATTGCCCTCCTTTAGATAATAACTTCCTTCCCTATTATTTAACTTATACAGCGAGAAGTTGAAGTAATAAATATCCACGGTAGAAAAAATGAAAAAAAAAATCTATGAAAAAATAAAAATATTTCCTTAAACATAAAAACATAAACATACACTTACACTATTAAATTCTTTCAAGTAAACAATTATTTATATTTAATTAAATTTTAGATAGAATTAAATTGAAAAGAGTTTTTTTATTAAATTTAAGGGTTCTTATTGTATACGATGTTTTCATGCTGTGGAAAAATTGTGGATGGGAGATGGAATTGAACCATCATGGAAAGAGCTCAAACCGAAAGCACAACCGACTGTGCCACCATCCAACCCGATGATGGGTTATTTATTTTCATTTATGTTCTTTCTGCAAGTACGGACACAACACTCCTTCCGCCTTACGAAACCAAGCGTCCTCGCTTGTTGCTTGTCCTCAATTACTATCAACTGTTTTTGATTTTTGGGAGAGCACACACAGAAACCCATTTGTGGCATTTTTTTCTAGCTGCTCACACAGAGTCTTACGCTTTCTCTAGCTGCTCACACAGAGTCTTACGCTTTCTCTGGCTGCTCACACAGAGTCTTACGCTTCTAATTTCGGTAAATGTCCGGTTGGTGTCCTACATGTCCGCAAAGAGAATGCGCATTTTTCCTTCCTTTTCTTGCATTTTTTCCTGCAAGGAGTGGCGCCCATTCTTCCCTTATGTATGGTATGCCTTTTGGCACGTCGAAGGAAAGAGGAAAAATAATTAAAATTAATGACTAATAGAGTACAAATAAATATTTTTTAATAATAATTCCCACACAAATAATTCCTAAAGAGAAAATTTGTGGATTCCAATTTTCGTCGATAAAGAACTCGATATTGGATCAAAGAAAAAATCCCAAATGTTAATTATTGAATATATACAAGGCTGGATCTGCCTCAAATGTGGTAATGATATAAGTATAAAGTGGAAAAATAGATACTTCTGGCGGTAATTAAAAACTAAATTCATTATATATGTATTAAAATTTTTATAATTAAGTTGTCCCAGAAAAATTGCCAAGCAATAATTTCTGTACGTTCTGATATGTAGTTTTTTTCTCTGATCATTTAAAAAAAATATTTATTTGTACTTTATTATTAATTAATTTTAATTATTTTTCCTCTTTCCTTCGACGTGCCAAAAGGCATACCATACATAAGGGAAGAATGGGCGCCACTCCTTGCAGGAAAAAATGCAAGAAAAGGAAGGAAAAATGCGCATTCTCTTTGCGGACATGTAGGACACCAACCGGACATTTACCCTAATTTCTACCCGCACTTAGCTCAGGCGATACTCACAGGGTCTTCTCCTTATTTCTCTAAACAGTGAAAGCATGTCAGATCATCACAGCATTTAACGGTTCGCTTGTTTCCTCAGGCTAAGCCTGGACGGGTCGTGGCACCATTATTGTATACGATATTCGTGCTGTGGAAAAATTGTGGATGGGAGATGGAATTGAACCATCATGGAAAGAGCTCAAACCGAAAGCACAACCGACTGTGCCACCATCCAACCCGATGATGGGTTATTTATTTTCATTTATGTTCTTTCTGCAAGTACGGACACAACAGTTCTTTTAAATAAACGGAAAGTTAAGGAAACAAACAGAAAACCCAAAAGTAAAGGCTAAATAAAAAGAATATGTCAAGTATATGTGTTTGTAATTTTTGGATAGGTTTATCTACACATTAGGGATCGCCACGACAAAAACAAAATCCCCAATTTCGGCAAATCACGATTTTTTTAAATTGACGCTTTTCGGGAATCGGGTCGGCGCGATTCCTGCTACACATTATCAATTTTCCTATTCTAATAGAAAATTTTCCCTAAACAGGTTAATAACCATTTTTGAAACTTAAGGGGTGCTTATAATTATCTTACAGACGATTTGGTTAAATTTCATATATTCTCCCTAAAGGCCAGATTTAATTTTAAAATTGTTTGTTTTTTCCTTTGAATTCGTAAAAATATTTAAAATAATGATACTTTAAGCTTAAATGTGTTTTTACTTAAAAACTAAGGGGTGCTTATAATTTTCTGATAGAGTGTAGGTATTAAATAAGACTACAAAAATCGACAAAAAAATAAAGAAGGCTCAAAGAAAATTTTTTTGAGTAAACCTTGAAAAATATGAAAAAGAAAGCTACGTAAAAGGCCTAAAAAGGAATTTAATTTAATAAACACATTTAACGGTTACCATGAGAAAACAATAAAAATTTTTTTTATTAATTTTTAATGAAAAAACTGAAAGAATAAATTATTAAATAAATTAATTTAAGGTGTTTAATTGGTAAAAAGAAGGGGGGAAATGTGTGTTTTTAATGTTTTTTGTTTGTGTCAATACCACGAGGGCTGGAAATTTGATACTAAAAAATAAATTATTTTTTTCTTAAAAAAGCTAAATATGGTGATAATAAAATAATAAGAAAATAAAGAAAAGAAAAAAAATATTTTTGGAAAATTAAATAATTTTGTTTAGATAAATGGTAATGAATTAATTTATTTAAATAAAAATTAATAAAAGAAAATAAATAAGAAAATAAATAAAATATTTAAAAAAATTTAAAAAAATTTTTTTTAATAATTCTTTCCCTCATTTTTAAGGGAAAAATTTTATATTAATTTTAGTTATTTTCAAACACTCAATTTTTTAAACACCCATTTTTTAAATAAACTACATACTTCAAGTTTTAATGAAAGTACAAAGCCCTTTAAAATTTGTTAAACACGATAAGATTTTTTAAAAATCTTATTACTAAATATGATAATTATTTTTGTCTTGAGTATTAGGGAGGGAACGGATGGAGAAAAAAAGTCGGTTTTCGGATCGGATTTCGGGTCGAAAAGGACCGGGTACCGGGT